AAATCATTTGGCAATTACACAATTGTGTGTAATCATTAACTACCACTCAAAGATTATAATATCTTCCTAATTAGAGAATCATGTAGCAGGGGTTTGTTTTACCATATAGCCTAGTTACATGTAAATAGTTGTTGTGTTTAAAGATGCATTATGCAAGAGTTAAATCTGCCTAATGCAGGCATTTCTTTAGGCCTCAAATGTTATAAAAATTACATTTATTAACATGATAAGTTATAATCAATTCAATAAACCATCAGATGGTTGCAATTTTCAATGGATTGAAACCTGATTGCCATTTAATAATTTAACGTAAAGATGGATAATCAAGACTTTGTTTATTATTGCAACAATGATACTTGACAGTGAAACTGCAAAGCCTGGTAACTTCGCTCTGAAGCGAGTAATTTGACTGAAATTTTCAAAATATTTCCTTATCATTATCTATTTGAAGTACATGTATTATAGAAAGAACAGTCAGCTCTTTATCTAAATCTTACATAATGAATCTTTAATCACTAAATGCAATTCAAGTATTGCCAGTACATACATGTATCTTCCTCATTACAGTGTCATATAGCGTGGGTTTGTTTTGTTGTGTGTTATTATATTGCTGTTAACGTGATGGGATAAAAACTGGGTTTTATGCCTTTAAAGCACTGCATTTAATTTTCTCTAACGGAAGTCATGCTCTATCTAAAATTCAACACACCCAAAATATAACCCATTAAATAGGCTTTAAGCTTCAGATGACTACCACATTTACAACAACTCGAGTTTCAACATAAATTGTATGGCATTTGACAGCACATGTACATATTCAAGGATTAATGTCTGTACAATATATACCGGTATCTGTGATGATGATCTAACATAATGTTCATCAACAATATCTGTGATGAAGATTTAACATAATGTTAATCAACAATGCCCAGTATTTTTGAGTGATTTCCTTAAATTCGAATGAACATGCAAGGCAGCAAGAACCCCATAATAATTGTAATGCTAATTTTTTGCCATCAAAGAGAGGTTGACTCTACATGTACCGGTACATACAGTACTGTATATGTATCTGTTGCAAATACTTTTACTTTGGAGGATCATCCCCAGAATTTTAGAAATCCTGAGTTCGACTGACACCGGACTATCTGTAGAATGGGTACATTGGTGCATGTACATTGTACTACATACATGTTTAAGCACCAGTGGGTAGCAAAGACTCTCAGCATTCAGTAGCAAAGACAAATATTTTTGGTATATTTCACTGAATGATTTTAATGTTTTTGGCCATGAGACCCCAGGGGAAAATGTGGGCTCTTTTAAGCCAACACCCAGGTGGCAACTGCCCACTACCTTTGCCATACAGTAAAAGGTTTTTACATCCCTACATGCAGTGGATAGAGAGGGCCAGGGGCGCTATAATCTGCGGGAAAAATTTATGGTTAACATACTCAATAAACAGTGACATATGTTGTGTAAGAGTCAAGATATGCTTAATCTTGCTTGAACACTTAATATCACTTGTTATTATTTTGAGAAGTTCACACGACTAACAGCTGTACTTTGTACTTAATAATCAGATTATCAACAATATCTTTACATAATAGTTTTATCAATACTCATTATTGTCATGCTAGTGAACTGTATTAAACACTACTTCTTCAACGGAAATATCCTGACATTTCCAACAGCTGTCTTCATTCATTTATATGCTATGTTTTTATAGTCTAAATGAATTCAGGCATATAACTCCATATGTCAGATCTTGTCATCCGGATAGAGCACACTATGGAAATATATAGAATACTGATGCCAACTTGAGGAAATATCAGGAAGCTTTTAACATTGAGAAGAATGTGTTTTCCATTAAATCACATGAGGCACTACAAAACAACTGGTTGCGTGATTTCAAAATGTCATGCAAAAACTAAAATATTAAATGCAGTCCCTTTGGTGTCACAGGATGTTTTCATGTGGGTTTTTTTTATATTTTGCAGCTTTTTTCTAACATTAACCAAATCACATGACTCAGTCAATTACCAAGAATTACATATTCAATGACTACTGTACTAAAGACCCCTATGCGCAAGCAAACCCCATTTCTCTCTCTTGTTCATTATTACAGATTGTATCTGTATGCTTGTACATAATAAACTGGTTTGTATATACATGGGGGATCACGGTAGCTAAGTGTGTAAGACGCTGGCTCGCTAGGCTGGAGGTCGGGTGTTCGATCCCTGCATTGGCCGAGAAAGTTCATCCAGATTTTCCGGCGTGGTCGCCCCTTGTCAGTGATGCAGGACGGAGGACCTGACAAGGACAGCTGTCTAGTCGTTCGGATGGGACAAAAAACTGAGGTCCCGTGTACACATTGGCGTGCACAAAAAAAATCCCTTGGCAGTTGGAATTCGATATAAGAGTAGGCCGTAGTGCCGCTGTCCGGGCAAAATTTCCCTCATAGCACACTGTATGGCATATGCCTGTCTCCATTAGCCCAGTTAGGAGTAGGACGTTAAATCCCATTTCATTTCATTGTATATCCATGTAGATGTAATGAACTGTTTGACACCCCATCATCATCATGACAGTTATATAGTTGTTATATAATATAGGTATAATAACATTTGAAATGCAGCTTGCCTATGATAATAAAAGTGAAAACAAAACAAACACAATCATTGTCAAATAAACACTGTCAGGTTGGTCAGCAGTATTAATAGAAACCTATTACTTAGTCCCTAGTAAAACTGGCATGTTGACTTTATCAGTAAGCTATGGAATTTAATAAATATTGTAATAATAACGAGCAACAGAATTGTCTAAGTTCATAATCTTAATCTCAATGACTATAAATAAGTATCCTTAGCTGGAAACAATTCTATAAAAGCTAAATCTTGCGAAAGCATATTAGTCATTTAGGTTAATTGCTCAGCCATTAGTGTGAAACCATTCATATACATGTAATATTGATGTTTATTTCGATAATTACAGTGTATGGACTATTGTTTACATCTAATGGATATTATATGAAATAAGTTAAGTTTGTTAAATAACAGTTGTAGCCCTATAATACATAAAAATATATATAGCCTACAGTGTATATAAAGATTAAAGATACATTCTTGCTATAATGGTTCGAAATTAGATGATGTAAAATGAATAATTTGAAAATTTCATTCAAATTACTCTATTGCAAGCGAAGATATTAGCCTTTGAAGGTTTGACAGACGTGTGCAATAATTTCAACCACCGTATTGGTTGATCGAAGCTAAGTCTCGGTCCTCCATTTTTGATTAAATCAAAGTATCGCTGAACCATTCTAATCTATTTAATATCGGAGAAATCTGATGCCATCCAGAGTTGATTAAGGCCTGGATCAGTTAATTAATGTCTAATTAATACTTTAGAAAACATTTCAGGCCTAAAGAAAGACCTGCAATAGGCTGATTTAGCTCTTGCAAAATGCATGTTTAAGCATGTAGGTAGTATTTAAGAGGACCTACAATGGTTTAGAGTGTTGAGCTTCGTACTCTAGCAGGCCGGTCAGCTCTGGCTTGCCATCGTGGTTCCGATCAATCTGTTTCACAGAGGATTACGAAAGTCTTCTAATATCTCTGTAAAAGATGACTACCTTCATCACGTGACTTTTCATCACGCGGCGTCAATCATTGGCTCAATGGCGGGTGCATTGTTTACATAAGACATTACTGGTTCGGGCGGAATGGAGCCTTTTACTCATTTTAATACCCATTTACACTAAATAGGAAATAATTTTTACTTACGAATTCGTCAAACATCTTTATTTATTTTTCTAATACATAAAAAAATGTTTTAGAATTTAATTTGTCGGAGGAAAAAAGTTAATATTTGTGGCTCATTAAGTCTCATCGATGTAATCCTTATCAGTGATTGTCGTGGCCTAGTGAATGTTCACTGCTGATCGGTGTGGGTTTTGATCTCTGGTGTGACTGCATGTGACTTGGAGTGAGGGGTAAAGGAGTACTATCACAACCTTATGGGTTTCCTCTGTTGTCCTCCCACAGGAAAGACCCCTGAGTGTGCGCTAAGCATAATAAAATGAGACAAATTATCTGTGATCACCCCCGGTGGAAGCAGACATTAAACACTAGGCTAATAATAGAAGAGGAAGGAGGTTGTATTTAAAAATGTCTACGATATCACCTTGGCGGAAGTGGACATTAATAAACTATTATTCACACACATCATCGAACTAAATACCTTAAGTTCAAATATATTATCTTCTGTCTTTATTGAATATAAATGTGTGTGTATTATCAACATATAGTAGATCTCATTCATATCCAGTGGACTAAAAAAATTAAACATGACCCCAGACATATTTTAAATGGGGTAGTAGATATATTGGAGAACAAATCTAAAATTGATAAGTTTATCTTATTATATCTTTAGGTAAGCTACAATAGGTCACATACTGATATAAGTACAGACATGTCTCTATGAAGTATTATGTCAATGAGCCCGAGGAATAAATGATCTTTGGAAAATGTTTCAAACCCATTTGACACCAGATAATGTTCTATGACATCATTTATTTTAAAAAACTGTTATTGTTATTGTAAGTCTCGGCCTGTACGTAGGACAAATGGATACTCTCAACAAGGAGTGAAGGACAGAACGATTTGTTTGTAGTCTACTCCAAATTCACCCATATATTATGATATATATATTGACGTTTTCACTTTCAGTGATCGCCTTCACTCCCCCCATAAATTACTAATTTATAGGGGCTACTTCACCACATATATATATATATTTGTATTTAAGCAGTTGGGCGTGCGTACGTGTATGTTGTAATATGCTACTAGTATTAGTAACAGCATTTCGTCATTGAAATTCTAATACGTGCATGTATGTATTTTGTAAACATTGAGCATCCTAGTAGAAAGTAGACGAAGTACCGTTATTATTGTTATGTAATGAAACCATACCATGACCTATTAAAACATAGAGAGACTACTCACCAATTGCCGAAGATAATAATCCACAGATGAAGAAGATGGACGATAAAACGTATATATTCATTTTCATAATAATATTCTTTTAAGAGGGGAAGGCCTCACTCTCTATAGGAATGAAAATATCGCTAAAATATTTGACTTGATCCAACTGGTGTCTATCAACGTTATTGCCCTGTTTTCAATGGATAACCCACATAAAGCGTTGTGATTGGCTGAACTATTTTTAGATAACCTTTCTGTGATTATCGCCACTCAGAAAATGACTAGAGTTGGTGGTTCGGGCTTCTCTGTGTCCTTTCCGAAAAGAGATGCGCAATACAAAACAGCAAAAGAATACTGGACCGTAAAACGAAATGAAATGAGATGGGGTTTAACGTCCTACTATTCTTTTCCGAACTGGGCTAATGAATACGGGCTGACGCCATACTATCTATACATAATAGTTAATACAGTGTGCTATGACTATCTGAGGGAAATTTGCCCTGACAGCGGCTACGGCCTACTTTTAATCAAATTCCAACTGTCAAGAGATCTTTAACGTGCACGCCAATGTGTACACGGGACCTCGGTTTTTCACCCCATCCGAACGACTAGGCCCTCCGTCCTGCATCACTGACAAGGCAGAACCACGCCGGAATTACTTGATGAACTTTCTCGGCCAATGGAGCTGAGATCGAACACCCGACCACCAGGCTAGCGAGCCAGCGTCTTACCCACTTAGCCACCGTGATCCCCGGGACCATAAATCAACACCGGGGGGGGGGGGGGGTGTTGGATGGCCGAATGGTTAGCATTTCACAGTTTTGGTCAAATTAAAAATGGAAGAGAAGCAAATTTAAGAGCAAACACGCTGCGCTTGCCACTAAAACGCTCGGGAAATGAGCGTTGTCAATGCTAAAATCAAATAATTCAACTGAGATTTAAAAGTATTGACAGCAATACAATTTCTTATCACACAGTTTATTCTAGAGTTTTGGAACACTTGTAAAAGGGCGGGTGCATGGTGGGGGGGGGGGGGTATATAAATCAGCTATGTTATGAATTACTTTGTGCAAGCAAAATTGTATATAGAATAGAATAGAATAGAATATAATATATAGAGGATATTTGTCGTTTTAGAGTGAATAACATATTTCATTTTATCGAGAAGCAAGGAAACTTATATTTTCACGAATGCGTAGCATGAGTGAAAATATAAAGTTTTCTTGCTTAGAGATGAAATAAAATATGTTATTCACGACAAAACGACAAATATTCTATTTATTTTATGATTTTACAATCATTTTAGGTAAAAACAACATGGACTACTGCTAGCCAGTGAAATAACACTTTTATTTCACTGATAAAACGCGGTATTCCACTACTGATTATAAAATAAAATAGAATACATGTAGAATTTTATTGTATCAAAGTAAGAACTGGATCGAAATTGTCGTGATAATTCATATTGGCAAAGGTAAATATTATATAAAAGCATTATATTAAAAACTTTTAAAGCTGATAACATTATTTTATAATCGGCTCTATTACCTCATTTTTAAGGAAGGGGAACTATTTTGAATTGTGAATTTCGGGAAACCCTAGTATAGTTTTAGGATTTAAATTAACGCCTTGTGGTTTGTATACTATTCAAAAAAAGTAGGGGATATTTGATTTTTAAGTGTTATTAAAGTCACCTAATGAAACTGACGAAGAAACAAATGACAAAATGAAATGAAGTTCACATTCATCGATTTATTCCAAATGATCGTTAGACTAAGTAAGGCACAGACTGACCATTATAAGGGTAAAATGATACCCGGGGTCAAACAGCAAAGTTACCACAGCATCACAACCAAGTCAGTAACGGGTAAATCCTCCTCTATTTGCCAAACAAGCATTAATCCGACATGGCATACTCCTAATGAGACGTCTAAGGTCATTTTGTTCCAGATTGTCCCATTCCTGTTGCAACGCAGCAGCAAGTTCTTAGACATTGGCAGGACGTTGTTGACGTTGACGTAACCTCTGTCCAAGCATGTCCCAGACATGCTCGATGGGGGAGAGGTCGGGACTCAGTGCTGGCCAAGGTAATGTGGTGATGTTCTGTTGTTGGAGGTAACCTGTAACGATCCTGGCAGTGTGACATCTTGCGTTGTCATCCTGGAAGATGAAACGGCAGCCATGACGTCGTGCGAACGGCACAACATGGACTGCCAAGATGTTGTCCCGGTAGTACTGGCCTGTAACACGCCCTGCAACAACATGTAAAGCCGTTCTTCCAGCAACAGTGATGCCTCCCCACACCATAACAGAACCACCCCCAAATCGATCATGTCTGATGACGTTAACGTCTTGGAAGCGCTCGTTTCGACGACGCCACACCCTCCTACGTCTGTCCAAAAAATCAACAGTGAACCTTGACTCATCTGAAAACATCACATTGCTCCAGCGTCGATTATCCCAGTGTTGACGATCCCTACACCAACGACGTCTTGCCTGAATGTGATGATCTCTCAAACAAGGGATCACGCGAGGACGTCGGGCGCGAAGGTGACCCCTATGCAGTCGATTCCGAATCGTCTGGCCACTCACTCTCACACCAGTGTCTCTTTGAAGACGAGCGCTGATCTGATTTGCTGTGATGACACGATTTCTCAAGGCCAAGGTACGGATAAATCGATCCTGGGCTTGAGTTGTCGCCCTAGGTCGACCTGAGCGTGGTCTGTCCTGTACAGATTGTGTATCACGGTATCTGGACCATAGCCTGCTTATGACAGACTGAGAAACATTCATCGTCCGCGCCACAACCGCCTGTGTTGTGCCGATCTGTAGCATGCCAAGGGCACGTAACCTTTCATTTTGGGTAAGCCGACGCATATCAAAATTTGTTTTCTGGTCACTAAAACAATTAAACTGATGTTTCCACCCTGGAATTCAATGCCACAATGACTGTAACATTCAAAGTCAGAGTCGTGCAAATCTTGGGTTGGACCCCCATGATGATCCCAAGCATCACCTGCATTCCATGCGGTAGCTATTGGTGCGTTTGGGCGTCACATGTAACTGGAAATGTTTCTTCTGTTAGGTTCTATAGTGACTTTTTTCGTAGTCATTTGCATATTTTAGTATTATGCCCCCAAAATCAAATATCCCCTACTTTTTTTGAATAGTATATTACAAGTGTGATGATTAATTACATCTAACCTATGGTATCCTTTAAAGATCCTCGAAACTAGTTATAATCATTACTCAAGTTAAAGGAAATTAAATGAAATGAAATGGGGTTTAACTTCCTACTTTTCTGCTCCGAAATGGGCTAATGAAGACGGACAACTGTCATACAGTGTGCTATGTGGGAAATTTTGCCCGGGCAGCGGCACTACGGCCTACTCTTATATCGAATTCCAACTGTCAAGGGATCTTTTACGTGCACGCCAATGTGTACACGGGACTTCGTTTTTTCGTCCCACCCGAACAACTAGACAGCTGTCCTTGGCAGGTCCTCCGTCCTGCATCACTAACAAGGGGCGACCACGCCGGAAAATCTGGATGAACTTTCTCGGCCGATGCAGGGATCGAACACCCGACCTCCAGGCTAGCGAGCCAGCGTCTTACCCACATAGCCACCGTGACCCCCCAGTTTAAAGGAGCTAAATCTCTAATCTTTGGCACTCAGAAATGGACACAAATGGGTAGCAACGCATATAATAATGTATATAAACTGATTTACATTCAATCGTTTCTGTTTTTACTGCAGATGTAATTTCTAATCAGTCCAAATTGAATTGCAGTCTTCGACCACGCCCATAGCCAGCTGGCAGTAAACATTTTAGGGGGTGGGGTGTTTTTCTCCTCCCCGGATGGAGGGGGTCCGGGAGTCCCCCCCCCCTCCATTTGTTTTTATTTTTTTGGAAATAGAACGGTTGCCAACGCGTATTCCAACCCAGAGAATTGTTCTCTAGCGAACTCTGAACAATGAACATTGAGACAAGTCAGGACAGATTAAAGGTATCAGAACATAACCAATAATATGGGCTGTGTGGTTGAGGGCGCACCTGTCAGGGGGTCAAAGAGGACATCCGTCAATATGTGAGACTGGGTGCCACGTCCTCAAATCAATACTCCATATTTTGATCGCTGACTGCTGTCTATTAGGCCTAGAAACAGTAGGTATTTCAGAACTATAGTCGGAAATTTATTTCGGGGCGTGGGTTGCACCCCCCCCCCCTTGCCCCGGGCTGGCTACTGGTGTGGTCGTCTACACCGGTAGTAATCTCATTCATTGAGACGCTTCATTACATATGGCATTCGAAAGCATTCTGGCAGGCGATTCTTGTGCCAATTTTAAAGTTTTCATTTTGTCTTAAATATTAGATATCAGAAGCCCATCTTTTCACGGTAAGATAACAACATCAATGTTGATTTAAATTGACCAATAAGTCTTGTTTGTAATGTCGAAGACTGTGGATGATATTGAGTTAAAGGCTTGCGTCCTTTATTTATTACTCTTTAGTCACAATTGTTTATTTAGCAACCCAATTATCTTGTTATGTTTTATGGAACCTTTTATCTTTTTTATCTTTTATTGTTACTGTTATTTAATTTCTGTAAATGATTTCACCATGAACATCATACAGTATGTAGTATTAAAATACAGATGTGACGTCATCCTTTGATGTTGGCGTACCATTATTTCAGTGTCTCAAGCGTACATTATTTATACTAGCTGCAATATTGGACGCGCGTGACATATTTCATTGAAATGCACGTGCTGGATAGTGTCTTTATTTAAATTGTTTAATGGTCACGTGCAAGACATTAATAGATATTACTTAATGTCTCGCACTCGACCATTAAACTACACATATGCGTTAGCGGTCAGATGCGGAAAGCGCGCCGTCAAAAGCTCCCCACATCCAAAGTGTGACGCATACTCTCTTCTCTTGCTACACATGTTATTAGCCTTGTGATCGTCTAGTATTGTCTTTGTATCCCAGCCTACCAGGGAAAATAATACAACAGTTCGTTTTAACATTTTATATCAAGCATCGGATACATAGGTTACAAGCATAGATTACAATAAAAGTCATTATCTACTCTCTCAACCCCACCATTTCGCAACTTACTGACGGAATTTCTAATTCATATGGCTCTCCTACGACCTAACGGGGCATTCTGAATCCAGATGGTGTCTTTTCAGCCCCAACGGTATCTCCGAACAAATCTCTCTGTTAATTATTTAAATGGACAAATATTACGTAATTAATTATGAGGATTGGTTACTAAACCTAATGACGTCGAGAAACACCGTTATATGGATAGTGGAAACTTTCCACCAGGAGTGACAGGCGTGTTATTTTGTTGGGTTTTTTTAACCCAGAATTAAATGTTTACCAAATTATCACTCATTCAATTTGAGTGCGTCAAATATGAATATATGGAACCAATAATCAGTTAAGACATAATATGGTCCATATTACTACACATATATATTGACCTCAAGTTTACTAAATGTCTTCTTGCCTGCGATATCACCCAAGATGGAAGCTGGCGTAAAACCATACGAACGAACGAACTAAATGTCACTTCGGTGGAAGCGGACGTTAAATAAAAAATATTTTCCACACTAAATGTCATCCGATATCACTTTTGTGAGAGCAGGCGTTAAAGAAGCAAGGTACCGCTTATACTACTAATCTACTAAATGGCATTGTGCTTAATAACGATAAGAGGATACTTGTCGAAACGTCGTGCTTTTAGAATAAAACCATAGTTACTGTTATCCTATATAAAAACTGTGTTCTGTTTAATGTGTTCCTCAATCGGTAAATGCCACTTAAAGGACATATGGCTCTATTTTTTGGAACCTTGAAATAGACAAAAATGGTTCTAAAAGCACATATTAATGTAATGTGAATGCATATAAAGTGATTTACATTCAATTTCAGAAAAAAATATTGTAATTTCTAATCAATTATGTTCGACGAAATACTTTAACAGTTCAGTTTGAACGGCAGTCGTTTACGCCTTCTACACCTTTTTTAAATTATTATTTTGTCGTTTGTGAATCAGACTTTACTATTTACTTCCACACTGCGTTGTAGGATATGTTTTTATTTGTTCATTACAAAATAGCACCCGAAACCATAGGGTACACGACTCGTGTACTGATTAGTTTAACCATATATAGCATATTATATTTGAAACTCGTCTAACTTATTTTAGTAAATACATTTATAAAACATCATAATAAGCGGACTAATCTGAGATATAGTCTTGTATTTTATCTAGTTTTCAATCATTAAAACTTACCAGATTATCTGTCTAACAGGGTCAAGGGTCACAATATGCGTATCACAAATGCTAAAAAAAAGAAGGGTTTTGGTTTCGTTTCGTGCAATTTTATTTCCTTCGTAGTTCTCAAGGACAATGTCGCCACAGATAACGGAAGTGTTGCGAGTCGAACTTGGTGATTTTAAAACGCTTAACGATTGTTCTGCACATTGTGTTCTACATGTTATCATCCAGATATCAAAGAAGTCACTCGATTCAGCTTTTAATTATCTCTTTAAAAACAGATTTAGTGAAGTAAATTAACATATTAATCGAAGCGCTATTTATAAATGGAAAAACAAATTAATAAAAGGACACATTTTGTATGTGTGTGAATATTATTGTCATTTAAGGTTTTTGTCCCCTTAATCCTTCCCTGGGGAACGATACACTACAGCGAGACACGTTCAATTTGGTATTTTCTTGTGTAAAGAAGAGACAATTTATATATTAAAGGGACAATAACACTCTTGCTGGCTTGACAGCTCCAGAAAATAAAAAATAGCCTTATTCTAAGTACTAGATGTGTTAGTGTCCTACCTGTTGTATAAATTATCCATTAAATCCTATTGTACTAGTCCAGAGGGTTCAAAAATATTTTTAAATCCAAGTCACATTTGAAAAGCTTTTCAAATCATTTAGTTGAATTTTTCTAATTTTTTAAATTAGGTGTGGTAAGATCAAATTTGTATCATCAATTAATTGCTTTATGCTTTATCGCCAGATGATGGGATGGGATGGGATGGGCATCCAAAGCGCGAGATAATGATATAGACATATGTGGTATCACAATTAATGCTTTGCACCTAATCAATCAAATTGAATCAAAATGTTATCGTATTAATTCATAATAAAAATTGCCGTCAAACCGAGTGTTCGGTTTTTCTCTTTAAAAAGCTCAGTGTGTATTGTATACGTGAAAAAGACGATAGAGAATGCAAACCCCCTCCTGCAATAATTCCTTGATTCGCCAAAGGTGTGAGGGTGTGGGGTGATTTTTTTTCCGGGCGGTGACACTCCCGCGTGTTCTTCTACGTACATACCAATGTATACACAGGTGGACTGCAGGTTTCCGGTCCATCTGAACAACTACGCCAAGAGCAAACGAGTTACATCCCTTGAAATACACACACTCGCGGCATCTACTGGAATTATATACAATTATTGTTAACAACAATATAGAGCCTTCTGTTCAGAGATCTTTAGTACAGATATTTAAGTTTAGATCTTCACTCTTCGGTTTAAACATGTGCAATTTTCAGTTTAACGCAAATGGATTACACAAATAGGTTACATCGGGGATGTTTCTTTATTTTGTAGCTCGCGTCAACGTAGGGATGGACGAGTTACCTCCCATGGAATACACACGGGGGGAATACTCGATTGAACGTTCTGAAACAATCGAGTGAAAATGGTGATTTCCGGCTACAACACAACCAACGACTGCATAAGATAATATCTCAATCTGTCATGGCAGCTAAAAAATAATATTTGTCGGCATAGGCGTACGGGGAAATTTTTGACTGGGGGGGGGGGGGGGTGGTGGTTGGTGCCCCAAAAATGTAGTTAGGTTCTTAGTATGTTACATAAATATCTCTTTTGCGATGAATAAGTTCTTAATTACTAAATCATCAATAAAAGAGAACTAAATTTTATTTACTTGTAATATACACAACTAAAAACAGTTGTTTATGTAACTGTAATTCGTGGCTTACTGTACTCCAAGGACAATATTGGTGCCAGTCATTATCACATATGTGATAGAGCTGGTTAAACACATTCCAAATATAATTTTAACACAGAGATCATTGCTACGATAGCTGAGTAATACAGGTTTCCAGAATCGGAAGTGACAAACGCCAAAGGAAAAACCGAGTCTTCTCTCTATATAACTGACTGATGTGACGAGTGATAACGGATATACGGCCGAATTTCTGCTCACTAATAATTTATTCGAAGACCAACAGTTGTTGTATGAGATTGTGAGAAGATATCTGACAATTCATAAAAAGAAGTGACTGCCACTAGATAAGTGAACACGAAAGAAAAACAGAAAAAGTCCGTGCATTACCATGTTTTTATAAGGTATAGAATGAATATAAACAAGGGAATGTACGGACTATTTCTATTTTTCTCGTGTTCTCTTATCTAATGACATTCAATTACTCAGCTATCGTAGCAATGATCTCTGTGTTAAAATTATATTTGGAATGTGTTTAACCAGCTCTATCACATATGTGATAATGACTGGCACCAATATTGTCCTTTAAGAATTTTTTGACAAGCAAAAGTATCAATAATTCTATCCTAATAAAATATACTGCAGACTATAATAGCAAAAATCATTTATCGGTATGAAATTATATTGGAAATTACGAAAATCCATTTGACAAGAGAGCAAAATTCGAATTGCATGCAGTGAATCAAATTCCGCATCGGCCAAAAGAATGAATCAGCGGGTGGTAAAAGCCTGTCACAGCCGCAAGAGTAAAATCTCGAAAAAATAACAAGTAGCTCCTAGCTGAGCGAATTTTCTGAAACTGCGGTTTGAATTCAAGAAATAGACATCATAAATCAAAATCGGAATTGTGTGATTTCTGGCACTTCGCACGCCTATGTTTCAATTGTCATTGTTCAAAAAGAAATAATAATATTTTCACTTAAAGCGGAAATTGCAAATTTTTAAGTTATATTTTTAAAATTTATGAAAATAAAGCCTGGAAATAGATGGTATCCATAAACAGTCCTACCTTGTTAAAGAATAATCCTATTAATCCTATAATTCACTATTGCCAGCTGAGAAATTGGCAAAAATATCATTTTCATCTTCATTTTCAAACGTTTGAATATCGCTACTTCATGGTGGAGAATAGAAAACAAGGGAGGTAATTGGGAGGTAATTGTGTTATTATTTCCTGTCTAAATGAATCTTAAGTGTGAGAATGACACCTATGATCGTATAATTGTGAGTTGACAACCTATGATCGTATAATTGTGAGTTGACAACCTATTGAGCAAAAGACATAGAAATAATTACGTTTTGACTTTCTTAGAAAATTTGCAATTTCCGCTTTAAATTTCGTTACCGGTAGGCTGCTTTATCTATGCAGTATTTTCGATGTCCTTAATGTCAGATGTGAAATTATAAAGGCGATAATCGTTATATTAGCTAATAGGCTAGATTGAATCAATTGAAGTATATAGATAGATACTTAATTTAACATTCCTTTCGGGCAGCATGTAGGCTAGCCTAAAGTATACATTATGCATGAAAAATGCACGTAGGCATGCATGTACAAAATATAAACCAAAGTTTTCAATACGAGTATGATTTATAAAAATATAGTTCAGGTCTGTGAAACTATACAATGATTATTTAATTGTGCTCCAAACGGTGCCTCGTAGTGTAAATGTTGGAAGGGTCATTACTGTTCTACACCGGATCCGTCCTGATTGACCGGAATGTTGGCTGTGTAATTTCTAAAAGTCGTGATTCTTCAAATAGGGCACTTGATTGCTTGTATATATAGTGCATTATTAAAATATAGTTTGTACTGACAAATGTTACAGTACGCCAGGGAGGTAGAATTTATACTGCCAAGTTACGTTAGGTTACGTTGGCTCACATCGGATTTTGAGCTGCTCCGAAAGGGAAGTACGCATGCGCTGTGAACATTCTACGATCTTTAACAAAACATTAATTTTCTATTTCGTTTATGTAAAAGATAGTAAGAAATTCAAGATTAACCTGACATAAACAAATAGTAGTACAAATTAATCGTAAGGGCTTAATTTCTAGGGTTTCAGAAGTAGCAAATTATGATCTCGACAAATATGCATACTACGTTGCTTCTCAGGTGGTAAGTGACGTCACCATTTTATGTGTACAGTGGGTCAATGGAGGTGTAAGTGAACAGAAAACTCTTCTTATATTTACGTAAACAACGTCAGTAAATTGAACCGTTCCTGAACAGATAGAGTAAAAAATGGCGTATCCATAGAAGTCGAGGGTAAGTAAGAGTGGCCTATCTTCTTATTTGGTTGAACTTAGATTGAGTAAAACGCATACATCAGCAGTTTGTCGAGGTGAGTGTTGTCAATCAGCCAGGGCAATGATCTGAATGGATGGATGGTCGGATGGAATCGTTTATAAATTTTATAAATCTAACACGTCAGCCTACGCGTACAAAGCTATTATACATAAATAAATGAAACGGGTAGCCTAACATATTACAGTTATTCCACTATATTGATTTTGGATCTTAATCTTATGTGGCAGTTGAAAAGAGAAACCATGGACATCCTGGTGTCAGAAATGTACCATTTTTAGGCCTAAATATTAAATAATTTTGTCAGGGTGTGCAACATGAACCCCAAATTCATACTATAAACTAGGTATTGCCTACATGTAGATCGTCAAATGAAACATGCTCTTTTAGCCCATTCAGGCGCTCCTGTTAAACTAGTAAAATCCCCAGCGATCGCTATTAAATCAGTTGAACTTGACCGACTGAACGCAAAGGTGCCCAGCAGTTATAAACCAGTTTAAAAACCTCAGCTCTCGACACGTCTTTGAGAAGGATTTTTATTATAAACTGGTTTAACTTGGCCGTCTGAATGGGTAGGCTTACTTAGAACCCCCGGCGATAGCTCGCTTACGTGCGCAGTAACTAATATTCTTGGGAAAATGGCAGCATCATGCAGGGCAAGTGTCATCGAAGCGACATTGTCAATTAAAATAGAGGGGCGATGAGAAACACTTTTCCTTATTTCTGTGTGGAGAGAGGAAGCCATCCAACAGTACCTACTAGTGGAAAGGTATAGTTCCATATATTTTCGCGGAATTTTTGACCTGATGTTTACAAATATATGCTACCTAGGAAATAACATTTACCCATGTGTCGTTGGCTAACTCTAATAGTTAAACTGGTTTGGGATATGTACATGTGAACACAACAATATACTGGTTTAAAATCCCCAGGGTATTTGAAATGGGTAAAAAAAAAATTAAAAATTTCGATCACTGAATTTGCTGATTTGTTTTGTAGGATAACTTTCTTTTTGTGAAAATTTTACATCCCCACATCAAGCCAGGGTTGAGATATAATCGGTGTTGTGAATAATGTTGACAATATTAATAAGTGACTGAGTATTAAGCTGTGCAGTATGAAAGTATCGCTCTAGCCCACATTTGATATAAGGCTATTTTGGAGTCCTTACCTTCCAGGATTCATTTCTCTCCATATCTGAAACAAATCCAACACTATTGTCAAAAACATCATTCAGAATAAGAGAGCTTATGTATTATAAAGAAAAGAAATTATGTACATGTATTGCACAAAATATGTTAAAAGATGTGTATTGTCACATACATTGTATACATGTAGCCTATCTCAAACTTGAAAATATATAGGCCTACAGTACTATTTCAGTGTAAGTCTAGAAACAAGACTGTAATGGTACATGCAAGTATGCAACTATTTAAAAACAAAACGTGAACTAATGGACTGGCTTGTAAAAAAAAGATAGAATTATTATTACTTTATTTGTCTAAGAGACATGAAGATCTGAAATCAATATGAAATATGAAATCAATAGGAAATAATGTAAACTTTAAATGGCCATAACCTAGATTGAATTGATCGATATCAATAAATTTTGGACAATGAAGCGACTCAGGCGAGAGGGTACTCATTTCCCAAGGCCTTAGATTCATATAGATAATAAAAAAATAACTTGCCTGCAGTTGTATTAAAAAATGTAGAAAGCTACAATGTACGTCAAGGGTTAGGTACTTTAATGATAATTTAGATGTTTGCCATCTCGGGCCATATATTTATTTGCAGCTTTCATTTGTTGATATCAAGCAAATGATTAATAGGAATACTTGGCATGCGATTAAGAAAGAAGACCTCTCTGGAGTATTTTGGCATGCTTTAGAAATTGTTTTTACTATTGAACAAGTGGAGGAATTACAATCATGAAGTGATATGAACGTGTTTACACGAAGTGCCTTCCAAATTAACTGAAACATCTCAAATTTTCACAGATTACCATTTTAAAGGTAGAATTAACTAACTGTTCAAGTGCTAGGACAGAGTTCATAGTGCAACAAGTCTGGACAGAAGGCACCTCTCACAGATTTTATCACAAATTATCACACAATATATATATATATATATATATAAACAAGCCTGGACATCAGGCACCTGGCACAGACTTTATCAGACACAAATTATCACATAACCTTGAACATGTACATTATATTAAAGTAGATAAAGTATAAGTATATTAAATAAAAAATACGTCCAGGTAAAAAACCAACCACATCATAAGCTAGCTGTCTGCCCTCTATAGGTGTCTTCAGATGTTAATAATGTATATCTATATAATTTGTATGACAAAGTGTATGACTGGTGCCTATGTCCAGGCTTGATTTTAGAGCTGGTACCTTTTAGAGCTTGAAAGGGGGATTTGGTGGCCGAATCATATGGTCTGTCATTGAGTCAAGTGGTGTGGTTTCATTCCCCGCTTGTACGTGCCATGGAGTAGGGTTGTCTGTCCAACTCCATGTGTTTTCTCTGGGTCCTCCAGTTTCCTCTCACAGCTAAAGACCACTATGAGATAGAGAATTATTGAAATAAAAAATTCAACCATATGTTAGTAGGCCTACTAAAATGACCTACCTGTTGTTTGTGTCGAATAGACTTCAGTGGAGCTAAACTCTCCCCCCCCCCCCCCCCCCACATCCCTCTCTCTGTCTGTCTCCTTTATACCTTGAAAGATTTTGCTGCTGGAGGATGCATAAGGGGGCTTTTAAGTTTGAAATTGATTAGGTTCCCCATCCGTATCTAGTAATACATGTATGTTTTCTTTTAACAGCAAATGTAGGTTTTCCTGTAGTCTGTATTAAATTTCTTTAATAGGATGACTTTAATACTATTAGATCACACATTATCTTTATCAATTCAAGAATCTGTCTAATGATATTACATCAGTTAAAGTGACATTAGGTAAGATTAGATAAAGAGCTGACAGTTCTCGCTATAATAGTTAAAAGACAGATTATGAAAAGAGAATATGCTGAAAATTTCAGTCAAATTACTTTACACTGAGCATAGATATTGGCGATACAATTATAGCCTAGGCTCGATTGTCATTACTACCATCATTGATTAACTTACTTATTGCAGCCATCCGATAGCATCGAGACTTGATTATGGTCTTGGCTTGGTAAGTTAATTAGGCACATATTTTTGAAGGTAGATTAGTGCGAATCATAGATTTAATCTCTGATTTTCTGACCAGTCATATTCTGGAACACTGACTAAATTTTAACGTAAGATTTTTATAAATATTGATTAGCCCAATCATTGAGTTAATCATTGTTCGAGAATACCATAAAATTATGGGATATTCTGGAACGCTGACTTGTACTTAATCTTTGACTAAGTCACCTCAACTATTAGTCATCTCAGCGGGGTAGTTGAAGGAAGGATTTAGCATGGATATGCCATTAAGATGCATTCAATTATGCAGTTATGTACCAAATAAGCATGAAACGACATTTATTTTGAAATGAAATGAAATGGGGTTTAACGTCCTTCTTATCTGCTTCTGCTGGGCTAATACAGTTAACCATCAGAGTATTTTATCAAGGACAGCAGCACTACAGACTACTCTTATTTCAAATTCCGACTGTAAGTGTAAGTGGTTTTTTTAGGTCCACAGGACTTCATTTCTTTGTACCTTCTGTTCTGCACCACGGACAAAGGGAAAGCAACCAGGCAGGAAAATCCATATGAACCTTCTCACCCAACAATGCGAGCCAAAGAGATGTAAGTAATGAAAAACAGCCAAGTTCAAAGCGGAACTAACTCAATAATTGTATTTTAGGTCTTTGAAACTTGATAATTGCAAATATAAGCTTACTGTTTATGTTTTTATACAATAAACGATATTATATTTAATATATCTCATATATCTTATGAAATTGGCATTCCTTTGTATGTATAAAAATTGCAAAAGCAGTATCTAAACAGCCAATTGAATTCTATCAAAACATGAAATAGACACATTTTATGTTTATATAATGACATGGCAAGCGGGGCGATGCAAACAACTTTATTAAAAGTGATAATTACATTTTCGTCTTCCAAGTGACCGCCCTATGCCTGGAGTCTTATTTAAAGGGCCAATCTCAATAATATTGTGGAGAATAAAACTGCTTAATTTTGTGTTAAAAGCCCTTAAAAGCTTCTACCTTTGGGCTGAGCATCTAACTTATTATACGTGATACGTAAACTTGCCAGTATTCATCTGGAAATGTAGGCCAGTGTCCCAAGCAGTATTATACGGATGTTTATTTTATAAGAATAAGTTTAGGTGAAATGTACCTTTCGTTATCAAGTACAGCACATGGGTCATGGAATGTATAAACCTCTAAAGGAACGGCAATAGTTTATCAAGTCACCCAACAAAAATATTGAAAATTTAAAAGGGTTATGCATCTTGATAAGTGGTTTTTACCCGGACGCTTAAATTTCATGCATACACATTTGTTTCTGAGACTCTGTTAAAATTCAGGATGTTCCCTTTAAATAGAAATATTGCAAGTTTATACAAAATTGACAAAAAATGATAAATTTGGACGTTAATCCGAGAGAATTTTCTATTGTAATGAAGACAATTACACCTCCGTTGTGAACTCAACTAGGACGCTTGTGGGAAATGTGACGGATAACAACTACTGAAATTCACTGTCCCAATACTAAAAATTTCTACAATACCAAACATTTCATACTCTAATTTACTTTGTGAACTCAACTAGGTCGCTTCTGGGAAATGTGACGGATAAGAACTACTGAAATTCACTGTCCCAATACCAAAAAGTTCATATTCTAATTTACTTGGATGTCTTTTTACATGGACCCACATTTTCTCTCTGCTTACACCCTACTGATCCCTTTGAACGCCAGGTTGGGAAACACTGTTCTCAAACACATTGTCATATTTTTGTAATCTACTTCCTGTAACTGGTCCCTTTCGTCAATGATAAACAAAAACTCTTTAATCAATGATTATATGAAATCAGTGATTTAAATGTTTGATTTACAATCAAATTCTAAAACTTAATTTTAATCATTAACAGAGAAATTCTAGTCTAGGATTATCTAATCTGACTTTTGAGAATGCCAAACTTAGTCAACTACTATTCTCTAATTAGCTAGTTACTGATTAGACCCAATCACAGATTATTTTAGACACTGTTAAAAAATATGGGCCTTATTGTCTAATTAATAATTTATATATAACATTTCAAGCCTAAAGAAATAGGCAGATTTAGCTCTTGAATAATGCCGGTTTAAATTTCCAGTTTCACATATCGGAAGTTTTTTTTAATGTAGATTATATCCTACATTGTACCTGCATGTCAGAAACTATTATCATGCTAGTATCATCATTTCATTTCTTGCAATATTTAATGAAATTTTCCCATTTTAGAATTACCGTACATGAATCTATTGTGTATTAATAATGTCACCATATCTCTACTTTCATTTTAGTTTCTATTTTTGTATCACATACGTAATTAGATCACAAGACATGATTGATTTTTATCATTAATTTATATACAGTATTCATGTATACGTACAGTAAGTATATTGATTGTAGCCATGTGATGTCAACTTCCTGTAATTTCCATTCAGAATATTCTTTCATTTGTGTCATGTTAAATTTTGATTGGTGATCACCAGTGATAGAGTACAGGGTACAAAGTCCAGAAAATAAACATGTAGACATGTGGGTTTACATGTGGTATGGCAACCAGTGGGTGCAGTTAGTGTTGGATCGTATGATGATTTGAGAACTTATGAATATTCATTAGTAGTGTGTAAATAGGTGGTCTCCATCAGTGTGTATAGTAACTTATGAATGTGGATAATGCTGGATGTATTTAAATCTGTTTTCAAACTACGTATTTTGAACGTAAGTTTTAAATTGTCTTATTGCTCTTAATCTGTATAATAATAGACTTATTAATAATACAGTACATGTATATAATGTCACAATTGTCTTCATATTCAATCATTGTTTGACATCCTGTTAATAATGATTTTGCCACTTGAATACATACATTCATGTGAACATATGTAGAGAGAGAGAAAGAGAGAGAGAGAGGGTTAAACATCCACTCACACAAACTAGGTCATTTTGGGTCTAACACATGGTTCAATTTTATTTCAATAATTTGCTTGCGTGTAGGGGTCTTTAGCAGTGGGAGGAAACCGGGGGACCCGGAGAAAACCCACGAGGTTGGATAAGTGACCCTACTCCTTGCCACGTACAACCGGGGAATTGAAACCCCACCAGTTGACTCAATGACAGTCCGTATGATACAGCGCGCACATGCTAACCATTCGGCCATCCAACCCCCAAGAGACAGAGGGAGCCATGGGATCTTTTAAATTAATCTTGGAAATTAAAATTGTACTCATATTATCCTTCAGGGGGTACCTTTGTAAATTAATATGTTACAGTTAATAGTTTATCCTCCTGTAGCAGTGTGTTAAAATATGGTACAGGGACACACCTTGTCATCCCTTCTCTCCCGATTGATCAACGCAGCTGTGTAGACAGGAAAAATAGGAAAACAAAGCCATATCTTACATGTTAATAATGGTAGACATATTTTATTTTACTTTCAAAGATTTTTTTTCGTAATACATATTTTCGTTGCAATGATTGTACAGTAGTTTATTATGCCTGTCATATATTGCTAAACTGTACGTCAGTCAATTTTATTTTTACAGAAATGATGTCACTAATTACACAATGAAGTATGAGTATTTATAAGTAATATGTACTAATAGTTTGTAAACACACAGTTGTAACGATGTTCTACCATAAATGGCAAACTGTTTCACAGCGGTAATGTGAAAGCCTTCTTTAACCACTGTATGTGATGTCACATCATATGGCGTCGATAACAGGTGTGCTGTTTACATCCGATGTAATAATTCAAACTGGTCCAGGCAAAACTGCTACCCTTTGCTCATTTTACACTCTAGTATACTATGTATATGTACCCATTTACACTAAATATTTTTTTTTATCCAACATATGTTAGACCTGAAATGACCTGGTTTGTGTTGAGTGGATGTTAAACCCTATTTCTCTCTCTGTGTTATACATGTATGTACGTGTAAGAGATGTGTTGGTATCTAGGTTACACTAGTAATGTAGTTTTGTTATTAATAATTGATATATAATGAGCTTACCACTGATTAAATGTTAATGAAATCTTGATTATAAAATGATCCTGTTTGTGAGGATTTTTTTTATATCTCTTATAAATCAATTTGGTTTGTGAGGATTTTTTATATGATATCTTTTATAAATCAATTTGGAACTGAATTATAATGAGGTTTAACTTCCTACTAAATCAATAAGGACTTTTCATGTTTTCTTGCGTAATTTATGTAGCACTTGAGAGGTAACATTGATTTTAATGTTTTAAAATGAGGTGAGTTTGTTGTAAGATTTAGATTAGGCCTACTATGAAAAATTAATATATTGAAAATTTCATTCAAATTATGTTCATTCTGGGCAAAGTTTTGACAAGATGGTCATGATTGTCAAGTATATGTATCATGGCTACAATGATAAACATTGATTACCCAGTTTAACATTAAATTATTAAAAGGCTTGGGTGTTCTAATCCATTCAATACCACAGCCACCCGATGTTCTAGAGAGTTGATTATGGGCTTTTTATGAGAATAAATTAATAATTTATATAACATTTGAATTTGAAGAAATGAAAAAAAAAAGGCAGATGTACATGTAGCTCTTGCATACATGTAATACATCTTTAATGTTTTAAAATGGGATGAGTTTAGCCTGTAAATATTACATGTTATTATAATATATGTGTACGTACAGTATCAATCACACTGGAAATTAACAACAAAATTCAGTAAATAAAGAATACATGTATACTCCAATTCCTGTGTAGTTATGTATTAATTGTTCATTCATGACTGTAGGATGTAGGTAGGCTTTTAGTATTTTTAAGGGACTGTAGTTACATGTACATGTACATGTTTGGTATACCTTATAAACAAAGCATTGTGAACCACCTGACCTGAACGGTACATGATTCCTATACCTAATAGACAAACCATTCTGAACCACCTGACCTGAACGGTCTTTTCATATTAATGTGATTTGTTCAGCACTTTATAAAGTAGGGTATAATGTATAGTATATTATGACTTTTTTTAAAAATATTTTGACATAGTACACAGTGGATGTCCTGTGTAATTAATGAAAGTAAAAATAGATTGTGTCACCCCACGTTAACGTCCTAGTTTCTTTCTATTTTATTAAGAGTAAAAAAAAAAAGAAACAAATACGCTTTATATTTTAAGGTAATATTATTGTACATTGGCCATGTTTATAAAGTTTGGTAAACCCCAAATAATATAAATTCATACATTGTTGGCCTAGAGTATATAGGCTTACAATGTACGTACATGTATACATATTTTCTTTTTACTTTGGGCAATAAATACATACATACATGTACACCCAATGATTTTATGAATCCATTTAAAATTTTAAACAATGATATGAACACACAAGTGTTCTTTTTATAGATGACCATCATCTCTATGTCATGTGTAAGTAAAAGAGTGAAAATTATATAGGTCTTTATATTGATAAGATAAGGTATGACAAGGGTTATTAGTTCAATTATAGGTTTTACTATCATTTCTATTTATAACAGAGATATAAATACTGGTTTTTCCTTGATTTGTTTTGTATTAAATGTCTGTTTGATGAAATATTTGTAGGTCAGATTATATATTATAGAAACTTGATACTAACATTAGTAGACGGTGCCATGCAGAAACAAACTCAAACATAAAACACATCATGCACCGATAATACTATATACCGGAAAACACCGAATAACACCAGAAAAATACCGGAAAACACCAGAAAAATACCGTAAAAACACCATGTTATACACAATACCGGAAGACACCATGTTATACTGAATACCGGAAGACACCAGAAAAACACTAAAGACCAGAAAACACACTAAATACTAGGGTTGGGTTAGGGTTAGGGTCCGGTATTTAGTGTTTTTCCGGTATTCAGTATAACATGGTGTTTTCCGCTAGTTTGCTGGTGTTTTCCAGTGTTTTCCGGTATGTATTACCCGTATGCACAGACATTGCAATTCAAGTAATAACAAAAAAATTACTATAAATTAAAATGAAGTAAATGGATCCAGGACAGGAATCTACATGTACTTGGAAATACGTCTTTTAGGACTAGTTAGACCCCTATTTGATTGTGGGGATCAAGTGGCTAAGTGGGTAAGACGCTGGCTCGCTAGCCTGGAGGTCGGGTGTTCGATCCCTGCATTGGCCGAGAAAGTTCATCCAGATTTTCCAGCGTGGTTTCCCCTTGTCAGTGATGCAGGACGGAGGGCCTGACAAGGACTGCTGTCTAGTCGTTCGGATTGGACGAAAAACCGAGGTCCCGTGTACACATTGACGTGCACGTAAAAGCTCCCTTGGCAGTTGGAATTCGATATAAGAGTAGGCCGTAGTGCCACTGCCCAGGCAAAATTTCCCTCAAAGCACACTGTATGGCGTATGCCCGTCTTCATTAGCCCAGTTTAGGAGCAGAACAGTAGGACGTTAAACCCCATTTCATTTCATTTCATTTCATTTATTTGATTGTTTTGCTCATAAGCAGGACTTTTTAAGCAATGTCAAAGCCCGGGAGATTACATGTAGGTCTTCAGCAACCCTTCTTGATGATTGCATTGGTGAGTGACCTACCAAAAGTTCTGCTTAAAATACTTGACCACTGAATCTCCCGAGTCCAGATATAATGTAGTGTGCAGAAAAACAAATATTTTGTCTCTCCACTGTTAATTTAGTAGCAAACATTGTTCATATTGACCAAGCAAACTTGTAAACTCGAATCTTGACTGAAAACAAACTTGCATGACGTGCTGACTAGTTGTACTGTACTACACCAAGTCGTCAATCTGGATATTTTTTCATGCATGGACCAATCTCTAGCCTGCTGTTTTTTTTCCTGCAAGTCTTGAATTCCATGTTCTACCAGTCTTGCAGTAGACATTTCAGTGATACTAATTGCATATTGGGATCATAAAATCTGAATCCCAGCAAGAAAGCTGACAAAACTGAACTGTATTGATATAAATATTGTACAATGTACATAATCCTGTCTAGTTTATTGCTGGGTATTATCTACTGATATATATATATAGCTTGAAATTTTGAGATATTATAAACTTTGTCATGAATTATATAAATGTACATATATATCATTCAGATGTGAAGTTATAAAAACATAGCTTGAAATCAGTAGTGTGCTTCATAACAGGAAAACACTAATGATTTTAACATTTAGACAAAATGTCTTTTTTGCTCAAAATGATTGTTTTTTGTTATCATCTGTCAAGCCATTAAAATCTGTAACTAAAGCTTAATAAGCAACCGGTAGACAAGAATATTGTATCAGTAATTGTGACACACAGAATATTTGCGAAATATTAATGGGTTTTTGAACACAACTTCTGGATAATTAGGATAAATGTATTCCATTGTTACTGTTGTTGCATATTCTATATATTTTTGTCTCTGTGTACCATCCATTTACAGATGTATTTGTATCATTTGCTTGATAAAAGTCGAGAGTATTCTCGTCAAAACGTTGAATAGTAATAAATTCAGTAATTGTGTATCCCATTTAACGTCC